TTTTTGCGTGTACCCTCTAGAAAATTCTTCCAACATGAACACATCATACAACAACAGCAGCAACAACATTAACATCAACAAAAACAACATTAACAACAACAACGTCAACAACAACAACAACGTCAACAACAACAACATTAACAACAAAACTAATGAACTGAAATAAAAAAAAATTATGAAATTTTTTTATTTTCATCTCCCCAGATCCTGGCAGCCATACTGACGCATCAAACTTACCGGAAAGCCGTTCATAGTTCCGGAATTCTATTCCTCTTCTGGTTGCTTCAGCTCATCGTCTCTGCTATCCTCTTCCGCTCTCTCTTTGTTACGGTGTGTGAAAGAATGAATGAATGATGAATGAATCAATCAGTCAATCAGAGAAAGAGAGGTAAAGAAAGAGAGAGAGAGAGAGAGGAAAAGAAAGAAAGAGAGAGATGGAGAAAAAAAGATGCAATTAAAAAGTATTTGAAAAGAATGATTGAATCGATCCACCTCAATCAGAGAAAGAGAAAGAGAGAGAGAGAGAGAGAGAGAGAGAGAGAGAGAGAGAGAGAGAGAGAAAGAGAGTCAGATAAAATAAAAGAATCTAAAAAAATTAATTGTCAATATCAGTTTTAATGATCGTCATTATTATTACTATATCGTTTCATCATCACGACAACAATCGTCATCATCACCATCATCATCATCACAATCATCATCACAACCATCTTCACTATCATCATCACAATCATCTTCGCTATCATCATCATCATCGTCGTCTTCGCGATCTTTACAATCATCATCATTTTTATCCGCCGTCAAACATTACAATTCAAGTACGTGATTGAGTATCTACATATGAAACAAAAGTGGTGCGTGTTTGTGTGTGTGTGTGTGCGTGCGTGCGTATGTGTGTGTGTGTGTGTGTGTGTGCGTGTTATCTTCAAGAAAATGCAACCTAATTTTTATTATCATTAGTTTGAAGGACTTTGAGACCATTGTAATTGCTGTTGCTGTTGTTCTTGTAGCCATTTTTCTTGTCACTACAATCATCATCATCATCATTACTACAATCATCACATCATCATCATCACCATACAATCATCATCATCATCACCACTTAAACATCATCATCATAGTCACCGTATCACCATACAATCATCATCATCACTAAATAATTATCATCATTACTAAATCATTAATACAATCATCATCATCACTAAATCATTATCATCACCCCATCATCATCATCAGGACAATAGTTACTGGTTGGCGACGAAAGTTAGAGAACCGGGACGTCTTCAAAATTCGTCGCGAGGACAGCAGCTTCCAAATCAACCCCATCTTCCAACAAAATTGGAAGCAGGCGATACGTAGAGGGGCCCAGCAGAAAGCTAAGTTAGCCACGAAATTGTTTTTTTTTGTTTTTTCTATTGTTACCATTCATTTATGTATGTACCGAATAGTTAACTCGACCGAATAGTCGATTAATTGATGCAAGATCCGACCGGAGCTGAAGGACGAATACTAAATTTTAGAAATTGTAAAAAAAATTTGTTTTTTCGAATTAAAAACAAGCTATTGAGTGAGAATTATCCGTTTCTGTCAGATTCTTGATCGCGATAGTATTCCATCTCTTCTTCAAGTTCAGAAGTTCAAAATGAACATCCCGACAATTTAGGCTTCTCTCTTCTGTTGGCCACAATTAATAGAACGGAAGCTACTACTGCTACTGCTACTGTTGCTGCTGCTACCACTACTACTACTTATACTACTGCTACTATTACTAACACTATTATAATTATTATCATTATTATGACTATAATTTTAACTTTTTTCTATCATATATTTCGTCAGAAAAGAAGCACAAGCTGAGAGAAAGGCTCTCCTCAACAGCAGCAGCAACAACAAAAATGACGTCAACAACACCAAAGATACTAAAAATAAAAAGGATGAAGATGTAGGGCCCAGAGCCTCGTTGTTCGGGGCCATGGGCCGCACCTTCTGGCTGCCCTTCGTAAAGGGGGGACTCTTTATGTTCTTTTACGATTGTATTATCTTCATCAACCCTTTCCTACTCAAGTAAATATGATAATGGTGGTGGTGGTGGTTGTTGTGGTAGTAGTAGTTGTGGTGGTGGTTGTTGTAGGGTTGATTACGATTGCTGTTGTAGCTTGTATTCTGTTTGTACTGTGCATCTCAGAGATAAAAAAAGTTGAATTATGAAGTTTAAAAAAATCACCACCATCATTCTATTCACCATCACCACCACCATCACTACCATCATCATCACCACCACCATCACTACCAGTGCCCTTTTGAACTTTGTGAGCCAAGTCGGGGACCCAGAAACGAAGCAGACCTGGCACGGCTTCATCTTCGCATTCGGCATGTTGTTCGCTTCCTTGTTCGGCGTTCTCTGCATGCACCACCATTTCAACTTTACCTACACCGTCGGCCTGAGACTGAGAACGGCCTTGACCTCTGCTATTTATAGAAAGGTCAGGGTTGTTTTTTTTCAAGTTTGCGTTGCTATTTATAGAAAGGTCAGGTTTCTTTTTTAAGTATACGTTGTTATTTACATAAAGTTCAACTGATTGTTTACCTTAACTTTCCAGATAAATTCTTTTAAAAAATGTTTTATTCTATCTCTACTTTATCCTTTTACTCTGGCTTTTTACTCTCTCTCTCTCTCTCTCTCTCTCTCTCTCTCTCTCTCTCTTTCACTTTCTCTCTCTCTCCCTCTCTCTCTCTCTCTCTTTAACTCATTCTCTCGTCTAAATTTTTGTCATTCACATTTTCTACTTTCTAATTCACTCACTCTCCCACTTACTCACTCACTCTCTCTCCCTCTCTCTCTCTCTCTCTCTCTCTCTCTCTCTCTCTCTCTCTATCACTCTCTCTCCTCACACTCACCCACAGTCCCTCACCATTTCACAAAACGCCCGGCGTTCGGCCACAGTCGGCGAGATCGTCAACCTCATGTCGGTGGACGTGCAAAAAGTGGCCGACGCCTGCTCCTTTGTCCACTACTCGTGGTCGTCGCCACTCATTTTTGTGGTCACTGTTTATCTTTTGTGGGGTCTTCTAGGGCCCTCCACAATGGCGGGCATAGGGTTCATGTTGGTGGTCCTCCCCATTAACTCTATGGTACTGGCTAAGTTGATTAGAGAATACCACGTGAGTTGTTGTTGTTGCGGTTGGTGTTGATGATAGTAGCAGTTGTGGTAGTAGTAGTAGTAGTAGTAGTAGTTTTGGTAGTAGTAGTAGTAGTTGTAGTAGTAGTTGTAGTAGTAGTTGTAGGAGTAGTAGTAGTAGTAGCAGTAGTAGTAGCAGTAGTAGTAGTAGTAGTAGTAGTAGTAGCAGTAGTAGCAGTAGTAGTAGTGGTAGTAGTAGTGGTACAGACTTAACTAACAAACAAACAACACAGAGAGTACAAATGTTATTGAAAGACGCCAGACTCAAGCTGATGAATCAGATTTTAACTGGCATAAAAGTGAATTTATATTTCAATATTATGAAAAATAAAATAGTTATTATTATTTCTGATGTTATTGTTATTATTATTATTATTAATATGTCTTTATTGATTGCCATTATTCCGTCATAATTATTATTGTTGTTGTTGTTGTTGTAGCTGTTGTTGTTGCTGCTGCTGCTGTTGTTGTTGTTGTCGTCATATTGTTGTTGTTATTATTATTGTAACCGCGAACCAAAGATTCTAAAATTGTACGCTTGGGAGCCTTACTTTGCGTCAAAAATTCTCGAAATTCGAAATAATGAGTTGAAAAATTTGAGGAAAAGTCAGACGGTCGGGGCCATTACGTACGTTCTCTGGTTCTGTAATTCATTTCTGGTTAGTGGATTGACTGAGCGAATGAATGAATGAATGAATGAATGAATGAGTGAATGAATGAATGAGTGAATGAATGAATGAATGAATGGATGGATGAGTGAGTGAATGAATGAATGAGTGAATGAATGAATGAATGAATGAATGAAATGGATGGATGAATGAATGAATGAATGGATGGATGGATGGATGAATGAGTGAATGAATGAATATGAATGAAGGAATGAATGAATGAGTGAATGAATGATAATCACGTGATACAGATAGCCTTGTTCTGCTTCACGGCTTACGTACTCTCATCACCGGAAAATATACTGGACCCACAAGCGAGCATTTTTTTCATCATCATCATCATCATCATCATCGACAACATCATCATCATCATTAACAACAACAACATCATCACCATCATCATCTTCATCATCATCATCATCATCGACAACAACAATATCATCATCACTAACGTCATCTTCATCATCATCTTAATCATCATCATATCATCATCATTGACAACAACAACACATCGTCACCATCATCATCTTCAACATCATTATCATCATCATTGATAACAACAACATCATCATCACCATCGTGTCTTCATCATCATTTTCATCATCATCATCATCTTAGGTGGCCTTTGTCAGTCTCTCCCTCATCATGTTACTCAACATGCCACTCACCATCCTTCCACCTGCGATTATGATGATGGTTCAGGTGGTCATGATGATGATGATGATGGTGATGGTGGTCATGATGATGATGATGATGGTGATGGTGGTGGTGGTGATGATAACGATACATACCTACAAACAAACATACATACAAACAAACACACATACAAACAAGCAAACAAACATACATACATATAAACAAACACACATACAAACAAATATACAAAAAACAAACATACATACATACAAATAATAATAATGACATACAAACATACATACATAGAAACCAGTATGCATACATACAAACAAACAAACAATCAAACTAACAGGCATTTGTGTCAGGAAAACGAATTGAAAAATTTTTACTACTTCAAGATATCGATGAACAGAATGTTACACATAAAGAAGATAAAGGTTTCATTCATTTTTTATTCATTCATTCTTTTATTCAATCACTCATTCATTCGTTTGTTGGTTTGTTCAGTCGTTCGTTCGTTCGTTTGTTTGTTCATTAGTTTATTCGTTCATGCGTTCTTCCGAAAAAACGTTCACTCATTTCGTTATAACACAAAAATTATTCATAATTTCATTCATTCCTATGTTCAATTATACATTCCCTCACTACATTCCCTCACTACATTCCCTCACTCATTTTCATCACTTCTACTACTTCTACTACTACTACTAATAATAATAATAATAATAATAATAATTATTATTATTATTATTATTATTATAATAGTAGTAGTAGTAGTAGTAATAACAACAACAATAATTCCCTCCATTAGAGTTCGCTGTAGAGATAAAAGATGGGAGTTTCTCATGGGGCGATGAAACGCTGAAACCAACTTTGAACAAGTGACTATCCTCTCTTATTCTCCATTCTTATCACACACAGAGACAGACACACACACACACAGACATACACATACACACACACACACGCACTAACACAAACACACACATACACACACATACACAGCATAAACATGAAAGTCAAGCACGGACAACTGGTGGCCATTGTCGGCCCTGTTGGCTCCGGAAAATCTACCCTCCTCTCGGCAATCCTTGGCGAGACCCAAAAACTATCCGGATCTGTGAATGTCAACGAAAAAATGGCCTACGTAGCCCAGCAAGCCTGGATTCAAAACCTCACTCTCAGAGATAATATTCTATTCAGCGAGCGCTACGACCAGGCAAGGTACGATGACGTCATCGAGGGATGTGCCCTCAAGCCCGATTTGTCGGTTCTGCCCGCGGGGGACCTCACTGAAATTGGAGAAAGGGTTTAGAATTTTTTTTTTTGAAAAATTTTGCAGGTTTTTCATTTATGGGTTGTTGGTTGTGATTTCAATAAAACCTTCTTTGTCGTCATCATCGCCCGCCATCTTTCGTTTTTTTAATTAATTTTAACATTTTTTATAATTCACCAAAATTCACCACAATTTATTCAAATTTTTTTTATTTTTTCTATACTTATATACTTAAGTTTCGGTAAGAAACAGTGAATAACAAACAATAATTCATCATTAATCCACCATAAACTCGCCATTAATTCGCATTAGCAGCCGACCACAATTCCCCTCGAATAATTCACCACCACTAATTCACCAAAATTATTCAAAAATTTTCACCCTTGACCTCTTTTTCACCAGGGCATAAATTTGAGTGGAGGTCAAAAGCAGAGAATTAGCCTAGCAAGGGCGGTCTATCACGATGCCGACCTCATGTTGCTTGATGACACCCTGAGTGCGGTTGATGCACACGTCAGCAAGCACATTTTCGAGAAAGTTCTAGGTCCAAATGGTCTTCTGAAGAATAAGGTCGGTGGAGTTTTTGGTCAATTTTTTTTTCTGATTTGGAATTGAGAATTGGAATAATCAGTTGTTAAATTTTCGATCACTCTCTTCAATTGAAAAATATTACCGATGAAACTCTAAACGAAAAATTTACCATCACTTGTTGGTTGTTAGTTGTAACCAACACCACTGCAGACTTTAGCCAGCCAAATTAATTCGTTTGAAGCGCTTGATGAAAAAAAAACTATTTCAAACTTGAACCCTTTCAACAATTTAAATTAAAATTGACTTTCTAAAATACATTATGGTGCCAACTGTTTGATTCTTCATTCATTCATTCATTCATTCATTCATTCATTCATTCATTCATTCATTTATTCTATCATTCATCCATCCATTCACTCATTCATCCATCCATTCACTAATTCACCCATTCACCAGACGCGAATCCTAGTAACAAATAATGTGACTCTGCTGCCACAAGTCGATCGGATTTTCGTCATCAGCGAGGGGACGATAGGCGAGCAGGGCAGCTTCGAGGAGCTTCTCTCGCGTGACGGCAGTTTCGCCGAATTTCTGCGCACCTACATGACGGACTTGGAAGAGGCAGATGACGTTGATGAAGAACGTCAGTTTGTGAGGATGTTGATGATGGTGGTGGTGATGATAATGATGATAGTGATGGTGGTGGTGATGATGATGATGGTGGTGGTGATAATGGTATTGATGGTGGTGATGGTAATGATGGTAGTGATGATGATGGTGGTGATGATGATTTAATTTCAAAATCAAGACTATCATTTGTGGAATGACATTTCAATCATTTTTATGGCTTCATATTTACTCTTTTCCGTTGTGATTTTCTTAAATGTTCTCTTTTTTTCTCTCTCTTTTTCTTTCTCTTTTTTTTCTTTCTTTCTCTCTTTTTCTCTTTATCTTTCTCTCTTTTTCTCTCTTTTTTTCTCACCCACGCACTCACTCAACTACCCACCAACACACGCCACATAGAGCAGCAAGAACTGATGAAACTACACGAAAAACTGGCAACGAGCACCTCATCCATTCCCAACTCTCCCGCGGTAGCCACCCCAATCAAGGGCGACCCCATCGCGAGTAGCGGGGGCGAAGACGCCGTCAGCCACTCGGAAGTTTTCTCGTATCAGAGCGACAGCTGGCGTCGGCCACGAAAACGACATCTGACGAGCGAACGTAGCGTTCGAAGTGGTGGCGCCGAGAGCACCAGCGATAAGAAAAACGTCGAAGTTACTGACAAGTTGATCCAGGAGGAGACAGTCGAAGAAGGAGCGGTGAGGATTGTGGTTCTATTTTTGGGGGTGTCAATTGTAGAAGTGTGCGGTATATAAATGTATTTGATCGATTGATTGTTTGGTTTGTTGGTTGGTTGGTTGGTTGGCTGGCTGGCTGGTTGGTTGGTTGGTTGGTTGGTTGGTTTGTTGGTTGGATGGCTGGTTGGTTGGTTGGCTGGTTGGTTGGTTGGTTGGTTGGTTGGTTGGTTGGTTGATTGGTTGGTTGGTTGGTTGGTTGATTGTTGGTTGGTTGGTTGGTTGGTTGGTTGGATGGTTGGTTTGTTGGTTGGTTGGTTGGTTGATTGTTTGTTAGTTGGTTGATTGTTGGTAGGTTGGTTGGCTGGCTGGTTGGCTGGCTGGCTGCCTGGCTGGCTGGCTGGCTGATTGATTGATTGATCGATTGATTGATTGATTGATTATTACTTTTATTTAAATATATAAATAAACAAATAAACAGACATAATTAATAAAATAAAATAACATCCTTAATTAAAACAACTCTACCTCCAGGTAAAGTTATCCGTCCTAAGGGCCTACATAACTTCGGCTCCAGCTATGTACCCGATTGTCTTGGTCATCTCCTTCGTATTTTTTGTGATCTTCAACTGTTGCACCAACATCTGGTTGAGCAAATGGTCGAACGATCCGGTCATAAATGGGACTCAGGATAGGGAGTTGACGAAAGTCCGGCTGGGAGTCTATGCGGCCCTCGGCGGTGGGCAGAGTGAGTTTTGTTGGTGGGTGGTGGGGAAGGGTTATGACGTCATTGTTGTTGTTGTTGTTGTTTGTTGTTGTTGTTGTTTGTTGTTAGTGGTGGTAGTGTTGTTGTTATTGTTGTGGTGGTGATTGTTGTTTTTGTTGTTGGTGTTGGTGTTGTTGGTGTTGGTGTTGTTGTTGGTGTTGTTGTTGTTACTGTTGTTGTTGTTGTTGTATCAATATTGGCTGCAATATATAAATAACCCTCTGTGGCAACAACAACGCAGATGACGTTAACAAACTCGTCAGCATCAACAACAACAACACTAATTAATAACGAATGATAATAGTAATAAAAATAACATTAAATAATATTATATATTAATAAAATTATAATAATAATAAAATATTATTAATATTATAATAAATAATAATTATAATAAATAATAACACCAACAAACAAACTCAAAGCTATCGCAGTAATTGGAGTCATATGGGCGATCATATTTGGCTGTATGGAAGCCACTAGGACACTGCATTCTAAACTCCTTCAAAATATAGTTAGGTGGGGACACACACACATACACACACACTCACACACACATACACACACACTCACACAACACATACACACACATACATACACAACACACACACATACATGCATGCATATATACATGCATACAACATACATGAAATGAAATGAATTGAAATGAAATGATCTTTTATTCAACAATATTTCCAAATAACATACAGCATACATACATACATAATTATAATAAAAAGTTGGTGACGGGTTCCCGCAACTTTGCGGTTCTTGGCCCGATTGTTTGCAATGGTTTACCTCCATACTTACGTGACCCTAACCTAATCATATTTACAATTTCGAAGTCAACTTAAAACTTATTTATTTGCACAATGAATGTCCGTCTTATTTGTCTATGATTTAGTAGCGCTTTTGAGATTCAACAATAAAAAAGCGCTGTATATAAATTTCCGTAATAATAATAATAATAATACATACATACGTGCGTGTCTGTGTGCTTGAAAATATCCAACTGAATGCCGACACGTGCAATTAACGACAAATCAAAGTGTTAATCCATTTGTTACTTGATGTTTGACGGTTCAGTGTCACTCATCATGTTTTGGTTTTAACATACATACACACGTACATACATACATACATACATACATACATACATACATACATACATACATACATACATACATACATACATACATACATTCATACAAACATACATACATACAACCGTCAAACATACATATATATATATACATACATACATACGCTTGTATGATTTAGTCAGACGCTTGGCTTTTGGTGTCATTCGTCAATGATTTGGTTTTAACATACATACATACATACATACATGTTTTAACATACATACAAACAAACAAACAAACTAAATAACAGATGTAAAATGTCTTTCTTTGACACGGTACCTCTGGGACGCATACTAAACAGGTTAAAGGAGGTTTTTGCTAAAATGAATTTTTTTTTTAATTTTGCGATCCCAATGAAAAAATATGTATTCAGCATTTTTACACAAACCTAACCACACATACGAATACACTTGCCTTCTTACTTTCACACACACACACACATACACGCACACACACAAACCACACATACAAATACACTCCCCTTCTTACTTTCACACACACACATACACGCACACACATACACATGCACATCATTTCCACAGATTCTCTAAAGACATAGACGTGTTGGATGTGAGCATACCCCAGTTCTCTCAAAGTCTTCTGACGACTCTGTGCCCCCTGGTCTCGACAATTATCATCATCTCCTATACTAGTCCATACTTCATTGCCGTCGTCATACCTCTCTTGATTATATTCAGCGCTTTGCAGGTTTGGGTTAGGGTTAGGGCTAGGGAATGATGAATGAATGAATGCATTGATGGATGGATAAACGAATGAATGAGTGAGTTAGTGACCGAATGAGTGAATGAATTAGTGAATGAGTGAGTGAGTGAATGAATGAAAGAACAAACGAACGAACGATAGGTAATTATTTTACTTAAACGCCAACGAAACGCACAGCGTGTCTACGTAGCGTGCGGTCGGCAGATCAAGCGATTGGACTCAATCCGTAAGTCGCCAATGTACGCCAATTTCAGCGAAACCCTCTCCGGATCGACAACGATCCGTGCCTACCGACATCAGGATCGTTTTGTCTCCCAGTCCGACTTCCTTCTTGATGAGAGCCAGAGGGTTTGGTTCCAGGTCTTTAGCTCCAACAGGTCGGTTTGTTACGAACGAATGAATTAATTAATTAATTAAAGAATGAATGATTGAATGAATGAATGAATGAATGAACGAATGAACGAACGAACGAATGAATGAATGAATAAATAAATGAATGAATGAATGAATAAACGAACAAATGAATGAACAAAACAGATGGATAGGTATATATTCAGAATTCATAGCGGACTTGATGATATTCTTCACGGCTCTCTTCGCCATACTACAGCGAGACACACTCGACCCAGGATTAATCGGTCTATCTCTGTCTTTTGCTTTCCAGGTAATGATTGATTGAAGGAATGAGTATTTTCATTCGTTAATTTGGTTCATTCTTTCTTTCATTCATTCATTCGTTTGTTGGTTTTTCTTTCTTTCATTCCTCTAATACGCTTTTTCTTTTATTCATGTGTTCATTCATATCACAGTTTATGTTTTTTGTACAAGTTGTTTTATTCCTGAAATCATTCATTCATTCATTCATTCACTCATTCATTCATTCATTCATCCATTCATTCATTCATCCATTCATTCATTTATTCATTCATTCATTCATTCATTCTTTCATTCATTCATTCATTCTTTCATTCATTTATTCATTCATTCATTCATTCATTCATTCATTCATTCATTCATTCATTCATTCATTCATTCATTCCATCTATCCATCAACCTATACTCAGATCAACATGAGTATAACAATGACAGTACGATGCACATGTGAACTCGAGACGTACATCGTTGCAGCCGAACGCATTAAAGAATACTCTGATGTTGAAAATGAGGTTTCGTCGTTCGCTCCACCATTCATTCATTCATTCTTTCATTCGTTTGTTCATTCATTCGTTCATTCATTCATTCATTTGTTCATTCATTCGTTCATTCATTCATTCATTCATTCTATCAATCAACCAATTTTTTTTCTATCTTTAATTCAATCAATCAACTAACTGATCGTTCATTCAGTCAATCAAAGTCGAAAAATAAAGTTCTCTGGTTGAATTCATTCATTGTTCATTTATTCATTCCTTCATTTATTCATTCCTTCCTTCATTCATTCATTTTTATTTTTCATTCAATCATTCAGCCGATCTGTCTCAAAACAAACATAACAAACACCCAAAAATAAAAACAACAACAAAAATATTAATGCAAAAAATAATAATAATAATAAATCTTTGTAGGCCCCATGGCTAATTGAAACTCATAGGGCCCCAGAAGACTGGCCGTCAGATGGGGTGGTCCAACTTAAGGGGTACAGTACCAGGTAGACATAATTATAATAATTATTTTAAATATAGTTATTATAATTATAATAATTATTTTAATAGTAATTATTATAGTTATAATAATTATTTTAATAGTAATTATTATAATTATAGTTATTATTATTATTGTAATAATTTGGAATGAGGCTTCCGGATAGACGCGTTTTTTTGAATGTTCAATTCTTACCCCTTGCCAATTAAAGTAATGAATCCAACTTTTAAATGCTAAGTGATCAGTGAAACAATTATTACGATGGTGTATTTATTATATTATTCATAATTTCTAAAGATCAAATGGTAGAATAGGTTATAATAAATTGTATTTAGAATGTTATAATAATAATAATTATAAAAATAATAATAATTATAATAATAATAATTATTATAATTATGATAAAGATACCGTGATGGGCTTGATATGGTCTTGAAAGATATCACCATCGATATAAAGCCACAAGAAAAGGTGATGACGACGACGATGATGATGATGGTTATAAAGATGATGATGATGGTTATAAAGATGATGATGATGGTTATAAAGATGATGATGATGGTTATAAAGATGATGATGATGGTTATAAAGATGATGATGATGGTTATAAAGATGATGATGATGGTTATAAAGATGATGATGATGGTTATAAAGATGATGGTTATAATGGTGATGATGATGGTTATAATGGTGATGATGATGGTTATAATGGTGATGATGATGGTTATAATGATGATGATGATGGTTATAATGGTGATGATGATGGTTATAATGGTGATGATGATGGTTATAATGATGATGATGATGGTTATAATGATGATGATGATGATGGTTATAATGGTGATGATGATGGTTATAATGGTGATGATGATGGCTATAATGATAATCATGATGGCGATGGTGAGACTGACGATTATGACGATGATTGTTATAATGATGACGACAATGATGGTGATGAAGAAGATGAAGATGACGATGGTAATGATACGATTGATTACCATCATCATCAATCATCATCATCATTTAGGTGGGCATCGTGGGGCGCACCGGGGCCGGAAAATCCTCCCTCACTTTGGCCCTCTTCCGGTTAATAGAGCCAGTCACTGGGTCCATTTGTATTGACGGATTGAACGTCAGCGAAGTTGGATTGCATGACGTCAGGAAGAAACTAACGGTCATACCTCAGGTTTGTGTGTGTGTGTGTGGTGTCGTGTGTATATGAGAGAAAGAAAGAGAGAGAGAAAGAGAGAGAGAGAGAGGGAGGGAGAAGAAAGAGAAAGAAAGTAATAATAATAATAATTTAAAAGGACCCAGTATTATTCTCCGGGACCCTCCGATTCAACTTGGACCCGGCAAGTAATTTCAGTGACCCCGAAATATGGCTAGCCCTGGAACAGGTTGAGTGGGCAGAACTTTTTTCATTCATTTTTTTAAATATTTCTTTTTTAATTTATGTTTTTTAATAATAAAATAACTTTTTTAATATTTCATTTTAGATATGTTTTTTTTGGTTTTATTTTTCGTCGTAAGTTATATTTAAAATCTTATCTAATTGTCTGTCTGTCTGTCTGTCTGTCTGTCTGTCTGTCTGTCTGTCTGTCTGTCTGTCTGTCTGTCTGTCTGTCTGTCTGTCTGTATGTATGTATGTATGTATGTATGTCTGTCTGTTTCTGTTTGTCTGTCTGTCTACCTAATCGATAGTGCAATTGAATAAAATCACTTTTCTCAATCATTTCTAGTAGGCATAAAAATAAAAACAAGCAATTAAACAAACAAACTAATTAATTAATCAATTAATTAATTAATTAATTAGATAATGAGTTGAAATTTTTTTCAAAAAATCTAGGCCCATTTAAAAACATTCGTCTGCAGCCTTCCCAATAAAATTGACCATGAATGTGGTGAGGATGGCTCTAATCTAAGGTAAGAATTGAAATTAAGTAAATTTTTTTTTAAATGACTGTTTATTCGTCTGTCTATCTGTCTGTCTGTCTGTCTGTCTGTCTGTCTGTCTGTCTGTCTGTCTGTCTGTCTGCCTGTCTGTTGTGAGATGTGGTTTTTGAGAAGAATTATGAAAATTAGTTCATACTTCGAATGAGGATGTATTAAAACAGTCCGGTTACGAAAAGAGGAAATTACTACAGATAATCCGACGGGGGCAGTTGAAGTTTTTTGGTCACATCATGCGGAAGGAAAGAATGGAAAATCTAACAACTACTGGAAAGATTGCAGGGGAAAGAGATCGCGGTCAACAGCGAACAACATTCGTGAAGTCCTTGTGTCACTTGTTGAATGTCACTATATTTCAACTCTTACAAAGTGTTAAAGATCAGGTTTTGTGGAGGTCGATGGTCGCCAATGTCCTTAAAGGATAAGGCACGAGAAAGAAGAAGAATGCATGACAGCAATTAATTTATGTTAATTTACGTTAATTTATGCAGCGTCGGTCAACGTCAGTTGCTCTGCTTGGCCAGGGCGTTGCTCCGGAAATCGAAAGTTCTCGTACTGGACGAAGCAACAGCGGCCATTGACCTTGAAACGGATGACCTCATTCAGTCGACGATAAGGTCAGAGTTCAAATCATGTACCGTGCTGACAATCGCACACCGCGTCAACACTATCATTGATTATGATAGGTTAGTTTTGTTTTATCGTTTGCTCCACAATTCATTCATTTATCAAATCGTTCGTTCATTCATTCATCCAACCATTCATGCATTCGCCTATTCATTCATTCATTCATTCATTAATTCATTCATTCATTCGTTTATCAATCTATTAATTCAATCATTCATTTGCTGTTAATAGAATTTTAGTCCTTGACAAAGGTCAAGTTAGCGAGTTCGCCCCACCTCAGCAATTACTGCAAGATCCCAACTCCATGTTCTATGCCCTCGCTAAAGACGCCGGCCTGGTCTGAATGGAGTTTTCTTATCAGTCCATTCTTTCATTCATTCTATTATTCATCCTTCTATGTATTCATTTATTCATTCATCCATTCATTCATTCATTCATTCATTCATTCCAAAATTACTAACTTAATCATTCTCTAATTTCTAGACGGGTATTTTACAACAATTTATAGATTTTTGATTTTTTTCCACACACACACACACGCACAGAAACACAGAGTGTAAGTAGATTGGTAAGGTTTACACAGCATCATTATGTAATACCTATGTATGTTATGTTGTGTTATACTTTTTATAAGTTTAACCACTACTTAGAATATGTTGATAGAGTTTGTGTTAAATTTGTTACTAATTCGTAATGAACTGGCAGTGAATTTTTGAATGAATGAATAAATGAATGGAGGAATGAATGAATAAATGAATCGACGAATGAATGAATAAATGAATGGGCGAATGAATGAATAAATGAATGGAGGAATGAATGAATTTTTGATAAATGTTGATGATTTTTAATAAATTTTATTAAATTGGCAATAATACAAATTCTGTGTGATTGTTAGTACATGTTGGTAATTATTCAGCTAGTTATTTTGCTTCATATTTTTCAAGATTTTTCAATAAAATAAATTAATTTTGAGTTATAACTCTATTTATTTGGCCGTTTTATCGTTGCGATTAAAATATTCATGTAAAATTTCATGGATGTTGAATATTTTTATATAAATTTTATTGAATAACTCCAAAAATGTCAATTTTCTGGCTGAATTTTGATTAAAAAAAGTAGTTTAATATACATTTACATATAATAAATTTATTATTCGCAACTTAATTGCTATTTTTAGATTATTTGTTGAAGAATGATTTTTTTGTATTAAAAGTTGGTCGCTACATAAATTTATATTTACCTATCCAATCAAGGTGTCAACCTGCTAATTAATTACCTTTTTTAGAAAAATTTTCGGGAAATATTCTTTCTTTTTTGCTTCTTTTTCATCATTTTTTTGTTGAAAAATTATTTTTATTACAAAATGGCGTCATTCTTTTTTACTTTTTATCGGCGATCTGACTCCTAGTTTAATTTATGTCTAAAATATCTATTTATTTTATGTCCGGTTAATTTTTACTAGTTAGTAAGTTGAGAAGCGAGACACGTAGTCAAGAAAGATAATTTAAAATTTAAATATTATTTTTGATTCGATAATTAATCATTTGTTTTAAAAAAAAAATTCTGAAAAAATCGTTTTAAAAATTGAAAAATCAAACTTATAGAAAAAAAAAAACCTCCGCCCGGAAACTATGATCTTCATAAAGCGAAAAAAGATAATATATGTCGGCATTTTCATAGGAATTCTCTGGGTCCTAATCACGTACGTCCTGTCCGGCGGCTCTAATCCGGCGGGGAATACCGACAGCGGTGAATACTACGACGATGAAGATGACGAGCAGAAATCTGGCCACAATCACAATGACAACAATCAGCGTCCCCACAATAATAAGAATAATAAAAATGTGAATAACAGAAATAATAATATGATTAATATGGGTAGAAATAGGAATAATAATAATATGAACCATGGTGATTTAGAAGTTGTTGAATTTCAGAGCTACACAACCATGGGACAGGTGATCCTTAATCGAAGGTACCAGCCGACATTTCCTGTCCGGAGGTCTGGGATAACTTGGATGAATCAGGATCTACTGGATCGGGAAATTGCCAAATCGACTGGCAAGATGGCGGTCGATGATGATGGTGATGGTGTAAGGGAGAGGAGGAGGAAAAATAATAGAGTGAAGAAATATAGGACTAAGGTTTTTGGTATCTTTGGTTATTTTTATTTCTCTAATTTAATTTCATCGTCAACATAATCACCTCACCAACGTCATCATCAACGTCATCATCATCATTATCAATGCCATGTAGAGACCCAAAGATTCAAATAATGAAGATGTGCCGGTTATGTTCAACCCGATTAAGAATGATAAAAAACCAAGAAAGAAAAAGAAGTCGAAGGCTATAAGATACGGTTATTACTTAGTTCAAATGCTATATTTGCGAAAAATTTGACAGCCACCATGTGATCTGTTTGTACATATAGCGTGTGTGTGTGTGTGTGTGTGTTTGTTTGTGTGTGTGTGTGTGTCGTGTGGATGTTGCATACAAATAAATTTGCATGTACGTGGTATGCTGTATATCGTGTAATGTATGTGTAATGTATGTTTGTGTGTGTGTTTGTGTGTACATTTCATATTTATATTCTCCCGCCACCCAAATCTATTTTTAGGTGACGATGGAAAACCCCACGAAATTCCCCTGAACTCTATGAATAGTTCAATGGTGGAGCTACACAGGGAGATGTACAAGCTGTACGGCCACAACGTCATCGTCAGCAACCAAGTGGCCGTGGATCGGACTCTGCCGGATTTCCGTAGCGACGAGTTAGTGACTGGGGGAAGGGGAGGGTCTGGTAGAGATGGGGGTGATTAGTGATGGGTTGGGAGTAGCGGAATTGGTGGGGGGCGATAATTGAGTCGGTAAGTTGGCAAATTGGGAAGTTAGTGATTCTGATTTTTCACAGGTTCTTCATGGGATTGACAAACTTAGAGAGCTGCGGCCGCTCAGTCAATATACTATTATTATTATTATTACTATTATTACTATTATTATTATTATTACTATTATTATTGTTGTTATTATTATAATTATTAGGTGCAAGAGTATAAATTATGATAATATGCGACTCGGGAAGGCCAGCGTGATCGTCGCCTTCCACAACGAAGCCTGGTCAACTCTCCTGCGGACAGTGCGCATAAATTAATTTTTTACGAATGAATGAATGATGGGTGAATGGATAAATGAATGGATGCATGGATAAATAAATGAATGAATGGATTGGTGAATGGATGGATGATTGAATGGATGGATGAATTACTGAATAAAATAACGAAACATCTGACAGGTGCGTTAATAATGAAATGAATATTTGAATGATACAAATTTTGATGAATGAACAAATTAGTTTAATTAACGAACGAACGAACGAACGAACGAACAAATTGATGTATGGATGGATGAACAAATGAATGGGTGAATAAATGAATGGATGAATGAATGAATTATTTAATTAATTATGAAATAAAGAACGAACGAACGAACGTATGAAAAATTTTCAGATTAACAGTGTTTTGGATAGATCTCCAAAGCATTTGATCCAAGAAATAATTCTGGTTGATGACGGTTCAACTGCGGGTATGATGATGATGATGATGACAATGATGGTGGCGATGATGATGATGATGATGATGACGACAACGATGATGATAACGCTGATGACGTATGCCATTAACATTTAACCATCAACATCAACAAAAACGCCTCCATCACCATCATCTTCATTACTACTACTCTGATGACCTTTAACCTTTGACCAACAGAGCATCTGAAGGAGAAACTCGCGGACTACGTGAAACAGCGCTCTGAAACACTGCGTCTCCTGAGAACCGGAAATCAATTCGGGGTTGTGCAGGCCCGCCAGCTTGGGGCTGACTCTGCAAAAGGGGATGTGCTCGTCTTTCTGGACTCTCATTGCGAAGTTACGCAGGGTATGTCTTTGCACCGCTCAAGTTTAGCGCTATATAAATCTCAAAATGTTATGTGGTCTGTAATTTACTATCGTATTTATTCCATTTATAATTCATTTATTAATCCATAATTTCTAATTTAATAATCAGTAATCCAGTAATTCTCAATTCATAATTTCCAAATTCACTATGTCAAATTCACTAATCCCAAATTCACTAACTCCTAATTCACTAATCCCAAATTCACTAATCCCTAATTTACGGATTTCCTACCGGCAGGATGGCTGGAACCGATGCTGGCTCGGATAATGGAAACCGAAACGGTAGTAGTGACAGCTGTGATGGACATCATTGACGACGAAACCCTGGCCTACAAGCCGTTCAATTACGATTCGATTAATATTGGAGCTTTCACTTGGGCACTTCATTTTGTCTGGATTGGAGTGCCCGCTAGGGTGAAAAACTATCTCACGTCTGTCACTCAACCGATTAGGTACGTGTTTGTTTGTTTGTTTGTCTGCTGTCTGTCTGTTTGTTTACTGTCTGTTTGTCTGTCTGTTTGTTGCTTGTTTGTTGGTTATTATCTGTCTGTTTGTTTTTGTGAGTTTTATTTGTTTATTTATTGTTTTATTTTCATTCCGACAATTCTGACTAAATTTTGCTTTCATTCATTCACTCATTCATTCATTCACTCATTCACTCACTCATTTATTCATCAGTTCCCCGACGATGTCTGGTGGTTTGTTTGCGATCAGTAAGAATTTTTTTATGAAACTCGGCGGCTTCGATACTGGCATGGACATGTGGGGCGGTGAGAACTTCGAAATGTCCTTCAAGGTAGGTTGGCTGTCTGTCTGGCTGGCTGTCTGACTGACTGTCTGACTGGCTGTCTGACTGACTGTCTGACTGGCTGTCTGACTGGTTGATTGATTGATTGACGACGACGACTTTAATTACAATAACGATGACGACGCCAACAATAACGGTGACGTCATCAAACAGATTTGGATGTGTGGCGGCCGGCTAGAGGCACATCCCTGCTCTCACGTCGGCCACATCTTCAAGAAGGGCGTGGCCTACAAGTTCAAGAGGAGCAAAAACGAGAAGAAAAATTTCCAAAGAGTTGCCGAAGTCTGGATGGACGATTATAAGGATATGTACTACAAGAAAACCAAATCGACCAGAGTTAGTTCTTCTGTCCGGCGGGAATTAGTAGATCATGGATGTGTCATTGATTGAATGGTTGAAGGATTGGAAGATCGATTGATTGGTTGAAGGATCTGATTGTTTGATTGATTGATTGATTAAGTGGTTGATTGGTTGAAGGATGGGATTGATTGATTGATTGATTGAAAGGTTGATTTAGCTGATGGAATGTTTATACGGCCTATGGGCCTTGTAAGAGTTTCATGCTAGTATTTTGGTGGAATTCGATATAGAATATCGTTTGTATCTTCTCTAATTCGACAAAAACACCACATTCAACACCATCATCATCATCAACGCAATTGGATGCCTTCATTATCAGGACGACATAGGAGATATATCAGTGAGAGTATCGCTGAGGCAGAGACTGCAGTGCAAATCGTTTGACTGGTATCTAAGCAACGTGTATCCTGAGATGTTCGATGTATCCAAATCCATTGTATCTGGAGAGGTGGTTATGGTGATGGTGATGGTGACGCTGACGATGATGATGGCGATGGTGGTGGTATTGATGATGTTGGCGATGATGATAATTATAAAATTTTATTTTGCCGATGAAATGCATTGAAGTACTGTCCATAAAATATTTTTAAAAATCTTCCTCCAAAAATCAAACTAACCAAAGATCAGGAATAAAGAGAAAGCTTTCGGTGACGGCGTCTTCTTCACTTCCTGCATAGACAGTGTATCCAGCAAAGATAAATTATTATCCGTCTGGCCGTGCCATGGACAAGGCGGAAACCAGGTATGCAGTGGGGGTGGCTTAATGGGGCCTGATAATTTTATGACGAAGCTTGGTAAAATATGTTAATTTTCCAGGCAGGTCTCGGTAAAATATGTTAATTTTGTAGGCAGGTCTCGGTAAAATATGTTAATTTTCTAGGCAGGTCTAGATAAAATATGTTAATTTTGTGGACCAACTATGCTGATTTGTTATTAACTATGTTAATTTTCATGGGCCCGGGCTTGGCGAGGTAGGTTAATTTAATTTAGTATTCATCATAACTTCGTGCGGGCCCAGTTCATAGTGAGATCTACCTTAATTTGGTTGACACAACTTGCTTACCTTGACGATATTATTATTATTATTATTTATTATTATTTATTATTATTATTATTATTATTTATTATTATTTTTATTTATTATTATTATTTATTATTATTTTTATTATTTATTATTATTTTAGTTCTGGATGTATAGCAATCTTGGGGAGATCAGGAACGACGATGAGTGTTTCGACTATGCTGGAACCCAGGTCTGATAATAATAATAATAATAATAATAATCATAATAATAATCATAATAATAATAATAATAATCATAATAATAATAATAATAATAATCATAATAATAATAATAATAATAATCATAATAATAATAACTATAATAATAATCATAACCATAATAATTATAATAATTAATAATAATAACAATAATAATATTAATAATCGGTATTGGTGACGGTGCAATTAATAATAACCATAATAATCAAATACTTGTTAGAAATAATTGGAGTGACTGACGACTAATATTCTTTTTTTCTTCTTCCTATTATTATTATTATTATTATTATTATTATTATTATTATTATTATTATTATTATTATTATAGGTCGTATTGTATCCGTGTCACGGAAACAAGGGAAACCAGGAATGGGTCTTTGACAAGAATGACGTGAGTGAGGGGACCTTAAGTTTATTATAATGATATTTAATTTTTATAATTAATAATAATATCATCTATTGTTATAATTTTTCATTTGTTTTTTATATATATTTATTCGTTTTTTCACTCATTCGTTCGTTCGTTCGTTCATACACTCATTCATTCGTTCATTAACTCATTCATTCATTCAGTCGGTCAGTCAGTCAGGCATTTGTTTATTCGTTCAGTCACTCACTCATTCATTCACTCATTCATTCATTTAAAATAAAATGAATAATTTCTCCCTGACAGGGCCAAATACTGCACAAGGGAACGAGATTGTGCCTTAGCCTGTCAGACGACAAAACGAAACTGACAATGGAACAATGTAAGGGCCTCACTAGGCAGTCCTGGGTCTGGGGACCACGCGGCAGGCCCTCCCCTCCAACGGTACCCCCCTCAGATGGGGATGGAAATAGGCAGGCCCTGGTCGATATTAACTCAATGAATAATGCTGAATATTATGAAGAGGAGGAAGAGGGGCAAGAAGATGGCGAAAATAATAATAAAAATAATAATAAAAGTAAAAACGACAACAACAATAATAAGAGTAGTAACAACAACAACAACAAGAATAATAACAATAATAATAATAAAAATAATAATAAAAATACAGAGGAAGACGAAGAAGAGTATTATGATGAAGAGGAGAAGAAGCAGTGATTATCATCAGGTCATCATCATCATCAACCACGTACATCCATCTTCATCATCGCTGACGGCCAAAACCTTTACAATCACTCACACGTCACCATCATCTACGTCATCGTCTTTACAATTTATATGCGCGTTTCTGAAGCAAAAAAGATTCTAAAATACACCATATGCGTTCGTCTTTCAAAATCTCATTTCAGGCTGAAACTTTATATTAAGTTCTAAATATAAACTGCACGCATTCATTCATTCATTCACTCACTCGCCAATTCATTCACCCATCCATTCATCCCTTCATTTTTCGTCCTATAACTTTCATCTGTACTGCCCGTACATTCAAAATTCACTCATGTAGTCGTTCATCCAGCATCCAATCAATCAATCAATCAATCAATCAATCAATCAATCAATCAATCAATCAATCAATCAATCAATCAATCAATCAATCAATCAATCAATCAATCAATCATTCAATCAATCAATCAATCAATCAATCATTCAGCGGAACAAACCAGCTTAATTAATTTTTGCTTGTATGTGTTTAAACATGTAACAAACTGATCCATTCCATCCATCAAACTAACCTTTTGCTATGCATGTATATATATATATATATATATATATATATATATATATATATACTTTTCTTACTACTCATTCTGTCAGTGTATGTTTTACAATTTTGTATTTATACATTTAATCAAATTGTTCATGTGTGCGTGTGTGTATGTGTGTGCGCGCGTGCACAACAACTGAATCAAAAGCCAACTTGAGCAAATTGTGAATTTTCATCGAGTTATAATTGTAACTATTGTAATTGTTTATAGATATTTTTATAAAATTATTTAGAACTTCAAACTGTGAAGACGTTTCATCAGTTTCGTCCATCCATCCATTCATTCCTCTACTCATTTATTAATTTACTCGTTCATTTATAAGTTCATTTGCATTCTTTTACCGATAAATTAATTCGTTTTTCAAATCATTCACTCATTCATTCACTTATTATTCACTCACACGTTCATTTTTACTCATCAATTCATTCATTTCTTGCACCTACCTGCTCGTCCATTCTTGTATCCGTACATTCCTTCAATCAATCTTTTTCATTCATTTGTTCATTCATTCGTTCGTTCATTCATTCATCCATCCATTCGTCACAAACAGTAGAAAACCGCTCAAAACTTATCAATTGAATATTCTCAAATATATATATATATATATACTATGATGTTACTTACAGCTTTTTTTAGGAGTTACTAACATATGACATCAAGTTTAGTTATAATTCTCATTGTTTTGTACTTAATATATATATATATATATATATATATATACATAGAAAATTAAATATTTAATTAGCCCCTTAATTAATTAATCAGTTAACTCCGTTAAGTTTAATATTACAATCATTCATCCTTACTACCTTTTTTTTAAATTTATAAGCTAAAAATATCAAAATATGCCCAATATTAATATTGTTATAAATTGTTAATATTTTTTAAAATAATTCCGTTCAATTAATTATAATTAGTTAATTGTTAATTTATTATAAATAAATTATTATTTATTTGGAAATAAATTATTGTTCGTTGTTGTTGCCGGGTTCGTCAGAGATGAACGATGAACATGCAACTAATCTAGAGTACAGGTAGGAATCATATTCGTGAACTGCAGAAGAGAAAATTTGAAAAAATCAGTTAACAAATCAGCCCATTCAATCAATCAACCAATCAATCAACCAACCAACCAATCAATCAACATTATCAAATCAATCATCCAATCAAACCACTGCATCAATCGATCAGCAAATCAACCAACACATCTGTACAAAATGGCCAGGGGGCGAGGGCAGATCAGATCTGAATGTGAATCTTTCCTCAAAACTCATCTCCTCTTTGTAAAAAATCAATCAATCATTTATTCAATCAATCAATCAATTAATTGATTAATTAATTAATTAATCAATTAATTGATAAATAAAGTAATTGATCAATTATTCACTACATTGAATCGCTTCTAAGTTTTAAATAAGCATAAACACAATAAACACATACAACAGACACACACTTACTTGAGAATAAATAAACAAATACAATACAGTAGTAAAATAGCACCAAAAAACAATACAATACCTGCCAAACAACACAACAAATATGCATTGAAACAACAAATTTTAATTGAAAAAGTTGATGAAACCAAACAAAAGCATAGAGAACATACCATGCGAGTCTACATTATTAATACTATTTCTGCTTGACAATGATGACGTTCTCAACTTTTTATCAACTGCTGATGTTGTTGCTGCTGAAGCTGCTGAAGCTGCTGCTGATAACTTACTTGATGAGAAGGCCAATGAATTGTTTGAGCCCTTTAGTAAGATAGAATTGAGGTTTGAAATTAAATGGGATGGTATATTGGAGGGTTTTAATTTAGAATGTTGACCTAATTTCTTTGTAGATGATTGGTCCCTGATTTTTCTTGATTCCTTGGAAGCTGCTGTTTTAGCTGCTGCAGCTGCGGTCTTATCTCTAAACGAAGACCTATTTTTAGATGCTTCTTTCACATTAGTATTACCTCCTTTTTCTGATCTCTTCCTTAAAACATCTCCATATAGAGAATTTCCTCTAGTCTTAGATGATTCTTTGCTTTTCAGTGAGAACTCTCCGCCGTTTAATGTCGTTCTGTCTTTTGATAAAGTCCTACTCTTGTGGGAGTCTGAATTTTTGCCCGCATCTTTATGTCTTAGGATATTTTTTGTATTCAAATTTTTACTACCAACAATTTTGTCATCTGGGTTTATGTAGTAGCTTTTAATGAAATCAACCCTGCAGGGATCTAGGTTAACATTCGATGATTTGGAGGATTTGGATTCTAAAATCTTGCTAGGGCTGAAGCCTTTTGTAGTCGCAAAAATGTTTGATAAGAAAAATTTCGAAGATGAAAATTGAGGATTTTTTTTGGAGGTCTGTTCAGTTGTTGGTGTTGATGTGCTGTTTCTTGAATCTTCTCTAGAAGTGTTGGATTCTGTGACTTTGATGTTGGCCCATGATGATGAGGAATCGTTACTTTCAACTGGAAAAAAATTTGGGTTGCTGGTTTTGTTTAGGCTAGTAATCAACGGCTGATCGGTTGTTGATTTTTGAAATTTGTTGAAAAAATTTGAAAGAATTGAGACAGTATGTTTGGGCTTTGTTGAACCTTTTGAGCTAAACATGGAATGTGATGATGTATCCAGAGCAATACTTGAAACTTCATTTTCTTCAAAGTTAGCCACTGTGTGAGATGATAGGTGATCCAGAATGTTCTGGTCAACTACACTGCTAACAGACTTTGACTCAGTGCTATGATATGTTTGTGGAATCATTATCCCCGGCTGTGTGTTTATGATGTTGAAATCCTCAAACTTTCTCTCAACATCATCTTGAGGTTCAAAATCTGCTTTCAACAGCTGATGCTCAATTTCAGTATATCTATGAAAAATGCCATA